GAAGACTCAGCCCGGCAACTCCCGCAGGTGAAGTTGCCGTGGACGGACGACGTAAAGAGCCTCCAAGAACGAAGGAACGCTCCCACTCTCCCGACGCTAGGCATCAGAGCAACGCCCCTCCATCGGTGTCCAACAACCTAAACGTAATTATCAACGGCCACGACGTATCGGCGCTCGTGGACACCGGAGCAGACTGCTCAGTCTTGAGTGGGAGGTTCTCTCACCGCCTTCGGAAAGTAACGACGCCGTGGAAGGGATCTCAAATACGAACTGCGGAGGACGCCTGATTTTACCAGTCGGCAGATGCACTGCTCGCATGGAGATCCACGGTGAGACGTGCCCTGTGAATTTCGTCGTTCTGCAAGACTGTGCGAGAGACGTTTTCCTCGGAATGAACCTTCTCTGCGAGTATGGCGCCGTCATCGACCTCGGAGCAAACCAGTTGACGCTGCGAAAGCCGCTCCTGCCGCCGGTGGAGACCAACATGACGTCAACCGCGACCCGAGTTATCGCCGACCATATGAGCCTGCCGCCGCGGTCGAGTGTTTTCCTCGCCGTCATAACCGACGCAGCCATGCATGGTGAAGCTGCGCTGGAAGGCAGCGTTCTACTGCTCCTAGAAAAAGGAATTGGCGTCGCACGAGGCGTAACAGATCTCCTAGTAGGACGTACAACTGTTTTCGTGAAAAACTTCAGAGAGGAGTTGAAGCACCTAACGAAGGGTACCACCGTGGGCCACGTCGAGGAGCTTCAGGCGCCAGCTCTGGTCACCGCAATCTCTGGGGAAACCTCGTCGTCACAGCAGGCGACGTGCTTTGACGTCACAGCGAGCTGCGGCGTCAAAGCACGTCGCCGCCGCAGCTCGACATCGACCCCGAGCTCCCAGCTCCTTAGCGCCGGCGACTGGCTTATCTCCTCGCCCAATACAGTGACTGTTTAGCCACATCGTCGAAAGTTTCCCAAACACCAATGGCGAAACATCGCACTATTACCGACGACGATGCACTTCCTGTCCACCAGTCGCGGTATCGAGTCTCCTTAAAGGAAAGGACGGTGATTCAAGATCAAGTCCAGGAAATGCTCGACGATGACATCATTCAACCCTCAAGAAGTCCGTGGGCGTCCCCAGTCGTCCTTTTAAAGAACAAGGACGGAACCCAGGGATTCTGCGTGGACTATCGTCGAGTGAACGCTGTGACGAAGAAGTACGTCTATTTGCTTCCTTGCATCGACGTAAAGTCAGACCGACTGCGCCACTCCCGATATTTTTCGTCGATGGACCTGAAGAGTGGTTACTGGCAGATTAAAGTTGAGGAACGCGACCGCGAGAAAACTGCCTCCGTCACCCCCGACGGACTGTCCTAATTCAAAGTGATGACGTTCGGACTTCGTACAGTACCAGCCGACTTCCAGCGTGTCACAGACATTGTGTTGGCAGGTCTGAAATGGCAGAGCTGCCTCGTCTACCTTGGCGATGTCGTGGTATTTTCACGGAATTTTGACGAACACCTGAGACGACTTCGAGCCGTGCTTCAAGCCATCAAGACCGCCGGCCTCTCACTCTAGCCGGCAAAGTGTCAGTTCACCTATGGTGAACTAAAGTTCCTTGCCACGTCGTGAACAACAAATGTGCTCTCCCTGACGCGAGAAGACCCCCGCCGTAGCTGCATTTACGCCGCCGTCTGACAAGAAGGGCGTGAGAAGATTCCTTGGACTCTGTGCCTACTACAGGCGCTTTGTTGGGTCTTCGCCATGCTGTCTGCACCGCTGACGCACCTCACGAAGGACGCCGTGAAGTTTGAATGGACGGAAAAACACCAGGCGGTCATTCGATGAGCTCAAACGAAGACTCCAGACGCCCCCGATTCTTGACCGTTTCGACCAGTTCGCTGAAACAGAGATCCACACGGATGCCAGATACAACGAACGTGGCGCGGTACTAGTCCAAATGCAAGACGGGGCGGAGCGAGTCATCGCATACGCGAGTAGGACGCCTTCTAAGGCGGAGAGGAACTATTCAACTACCGAAAAGGAGTGCTTTGTGGTCGTCTGGGCAATAACAATGTTCTGCCCATATTTGTATGGAAGTCCTTTTCGCGTGGTCATGGACCATTACTCCCTCTGCTGGCTCGCAAATCTGAAGGATCCCTCCGGACGCCTCGCCCGGTGGAGCCTACGACTGCAGGAGTTTGACATGACCGTGGTGTACAAGTCCGGCCGGAAGCACAATGACGCCGACTGTCAAAGTGGGGCCCTTGACTGCCTAGCTGTCAAGGGCCCCAGTCGCGGCCGGTCCTGCCTGCATCGATGACGAGGACGATGAGTGTTTCCTCGGCGCTCTGGATGTCAGCGGCATGGCAGCACTTTAACGAGATGACACTGAACTGCAGGCGCTCATCGAGCATCTAGGGAGACAAGCGAGTGCGGTTCCCCGCGCTTTCCTACGAATCCTGCCTACCTTCTGCTGTGCAAAAAGACATTCGTTAACAACGACAGAGTATGGCTGTTGGTTATTCCTTACAGTCTCCTAGAAGAAATCTTCCAAGGATGTCATGACGACCCAATGGCTGGACACCTTGGCTTCAGCAGGGCGCTCGCCAGGATTCGAGAAAAGTACTACAGTCATGTCTCGTTAATATGAACCCCGTTAATATGGATACTCCACTATATGGACACCACTTTCGGGGTCTTGTTAATATGAAGAACTCAGATTATGGAAACCTTTTTTATGGAAACGGAGGTGTCCATTGTAACGAGACATCACTGTACTAGCCGAGGCTACTGAAGACCGTTCACCTCTACACTCAATCATGCCACGAGTGTCAGCGACACAAGAAACCGCCGACGAAGCCGCCAGGACTTTTGCATCCGATTTTTCCCCCGTCCTCGCCGTTCCAGCACATCGGAATGGATTTACTTGGCCCTTTCCAACCGTCAACGTCGGGAAACCGCTGGGTAATCTTCGCCTAAGATTATCTCATACGGTACGCCGAGACGAAAGCCCTTCCATCAAGTACGGCTGTTGTAGTCGCCAGGTTTTTCATCGAGACCATTGTCCCCCTGCACGGCGCCCCCGAAGTCCCTATTACAGCCTGTGGATCATCTTTCATGGCGCTGCTGACGCAAGAGATCCTTCGTCCCTTTGCAACCGGCCACCTTCGAACCACTGCGTACCATCCGCAGACAAATGTACTAACAGAACTGCTAAGCAAAACTATCACCAACATGATATGTATGTCGACAACGAGCACAAGACTTGGGACGATGTGTGACCCTACGTCACGTTTACTTACAACACGGCGGTGCAAGATACCACAGGAGTAACCCCGTTTCAGCTGGTGCATGGCAGAAAAATAACGACCATGCTCGACGCAATGGTACCCCATGAGCCAGCTGGCGATGGGATCCCCGAGGCCCAGGTCGTTGCTAAACGAGCCGAAGAAGTTCGCCAGCTCGCCCGACTCCGAATTCAAGACCAACAACGTGTCGACGCTACCCGGTACAGCCTTCGTCGGATCGAAGTTCGCTTGAAGCCCGGAGACAGTGTGTGGGTTTGAACCCCGATACGCCGCCGTGGCCTCAGCGAGAAACTCCTGAAACGGTATTTCGAACCCCACAAGGTACTTCGTCGACTTGGAGATCTGAACTACGTGGTGATGCCCAACGAAACAAGAACATCATCACGCCGCCCACCGAGCCCTGAAGTCGTCCACGTCGTGCACCTGAAGCCGTACTACGCTCAATAGGACTGCAGACTTTACGTGCTCCTGATGACTTTTTTGTTTGTCGTTCTTTTGATTTGCTTTGTTTTGTCTTGTGTGGCATCGGGTTGATGCACTTTTCAAAGGGGGGAGTAATGCCGCCAGCGCAGCTGACCGAGCAGGCAGCTCGCTCGTGACCTAACGGTTAGTGCACTTACCTTCGACGAAAAAAGTTAAGGTTGAAATCCTGGCCGCGGGTGCACATTTTTGTTGACTCTGTAATGTGTTGTTCTGGTAAATCCGAGAACCGTGTTGCTAATTCAAGGTCCGAATGTTCTACACGCCGAACCATCTACGCCGATTGTTCCAGAAGTCCTTGCGTGTACATAAGAAAGAGGCTCCGCGTGGCGAGCCGTAGTCAGTCTTGCCCCAGCGTTCGATCCCGCTGTTACGCCGACTTCGACGCCCGCGACATTCTGTTGTTATCTTCTGTTTCCTTTTAGGTTTTGGGCACAAGTTCGCCCCATTAAACGTTTCAGTTTCCTCAGTCATTCTTTGCTTCGTCACCTCATGATTCGCGACAACATTTCCCGGTGGATGTGTTTTGGTGTTTTCTCCGCGATGGCAATTAACGGCACGTTTGCGACGGAGAAAGACTATATAGTGAATATCAATTTAGATTTCCAGTTTTTATCTTCAATTTCATGTACAATTACGTTTGCTAGGCAAATAGATAAATATTTTGCAGTTCGTTAGCACAACACACGATGACTCTGTGTTGGCTTATTTTCAAAATTACATGTTTATAAAGCCATATTCGTTAGAAAATTAGAATGTTATAACTCTGGAAGCAAAGTGTTGTGTAAGAATAACTAAAAAAAAAAACTTACAGCTTAGAGGCTGTAACATAATGTTTTATCTTGGCTGCCGTAGGAAAGGTCAATTATAGGAATATGTTCGATAGACGTGTAAGAACATATGAAGGGGTATCAGAACGTACATAGCTTTACTCAAGACTTGTGTAATATTTATAAATTATGGTATGTTTACATGACAGACCGCACAGTTAAATATTATTTGTGCGATAGGAATTTTACTTGTGTTCCCATATTTTTATTGTAGATTTGAAAGCGCCTATTTCTCATCAAGTATGATCCAAAGTCGTTTTTGTTTTATCTTTGACAGAAAACAGTACAATTAGGAAAGCATATTCCAGAAGATATTCGTCCAAGTTAAAAACCTGCGCAATTTTACGGTAAAAGTTAAGGTCAATTAAAAAATTCACTACATGTGTTTCAGGAATCCAGCGCAATCGAAAGCATTCCCATGGATGAAGCAGACATTTACGACAGCTATAAGAAGTATTACACAAAAAAGAGACATCATCTGGGCTGTCCGGACGCCGCATTCTATGTCACAATGTAATTATGTTTTATTATATCATGTTCCTGTTCATGTTCGTTCATCAATTATTAATAAAACAATAATATTTCTTCTTTTTGTTTATGCTGCCATCTACATCTAAGCAAAGTTGACAATCATAAAAAGCTGCGCTTTCTTTTGAGCCCCATATTGTATTGGCAGGAATTAGACTCTTTATTCTTTTTGTGCTACCTCACTTGTCGCTAACCAGAGCTTACAGACAGATATCTGTACTGTAATTATAAAAATGGCCACCTACAATATCAACGTCTAGTTAACGATTGATGCACATCACATTATATCTCTGGCGATATTGTATTAAAGGGACCATGAAACGATTTTCAAATGGAATTTTGTCCACCGCACGTCGTAAGGGGTGTGAAAAGAAAACCAAAAAACAAACATAGAGAGTCAGAAAATCTTTTCGCTACCAGACTTTTAAAAGAAAAACGGGCTCTTTTCTAACTTTTATCCCTCGAAAGCTCTCTCCCTTTTCAATGCGATGCCTCCGCGGTTCCACTGCACGTAAGGCAAATCCATATCGCCTATTGGATCAGAGCCTACCTCACCAGCACCTCGATCATATAGCCGGCGAACGTTCCTTAATGCTTTTGTTAAATTATATTATAATCCACATGTTGTTGAATAATTAGCGACGTGACGGAAATTATCGAATTTTGTATTGCTCGGAGCAGGGATGGGCAAAATACACGCAAATATGTATCGAAATACAAATACAAGTTACTTCGTCAAAAATGTATTTAATTACAAATCTAATTACATTTCCAAAAAAGCATTTAAGTACAAGATACGAATGCAACCAAATGTATTTGGTTTCCTCCACATACTTTTCCAAATACATTCCTCAAAACTTGTGTCAGCGACTTCAGGGCACCTGCAACGGGTTTCTGGGTATCTCATTTTATTTTTGCATCGCACACTCGGGAGTTAGTTTGCGAGGCTGTAGTAACTTAATAAAATATAATCACAAAAAAATGTAATCAGCTTGGACGTAACAGGTGAAAAAAGTACAGAGCTTCAAGCAGCTTTTTTTGTCGATTACATTTTGGTATAGTCCAACAAAGAGCCGAGACGATCAAGACGCGCAGCACTAGCTAGTGAATTTTTTTATTGTTGCAACTCACACCAGTTAAGAAAATCTGGACGACCCGCGCATTTAGAATGTTCCAGGCAAAAATATGGATGGAAATCAGGCTGGAAAGCATCACAACTTGTCACGGGCACTTATTTACCCACTCTGCCTGTGAACGTCGATTTCGTCACTATTCTTGCCCTGGACTAGCACCGTAATCACAAAGTCACGAAACGCTTGTGCTTGATTGAGAAACACTGCATTCAATGCAGAACGTAGTTTTCTTCCTGCTCTAGACAGTGACAATAAATTTGAGGGATGTATTTTCCCCCACAAAATTGTATTTAATTACAATTGTATTTGAAATGCCCATGTTTTACTATATAAAGTCACACATCAGACACATTACCCAATTTTTAATTAAATACAAATGCAAAATACGCAAAGTATTTGAAATACATATTTCAAATACTTGTATTTGAAATACTGCCCATCCCTGGCTAGGAGCTATGTGCCATCTATCGTGTGGTAAACGAAGCAAGAGACAGCGCCTATGCATAGCGGCCTGTCTGCTGAAAAGCGTGCCGTAGGTGGCGATGATCGACGTAGTCGGCGTGGTAGAAGCTCATCGTTTCGCGCAGTGCGCTATCCTTGACTGAATTCTCGTCGCGTGTCGCAATGCTAACCGAACACGTCCTAGAAGAGAAGATTCGTCTACTCGTGTGGTGATGTTGTGGCGGCACCTTCAAGACAGCAGAATCGCTCGTGCCGTCGTCTTTGTTTACTTCGACTACACTAGTGCTATCTTAGCATTTGTCTGTTCGAACATCGCCCCGATTTATTATTCTGCGCATTCCATGCGTGTGATCAAGTTCAAGATATTACTGGTGCGTACTGTATTTAGGGACGTGTATGAAGGCTGCGAATTTTGACGCGTTTTCATCACCCGAGAAAAGTTTTGGTGTTAGCATTCTTTCAATAATTGCAACGTCTATGTGATCACGAAATCATATTTCTACGTTGCTGCTAAAATTACAATTTTTTTTTTGCAATCGCAGAAAAGGCGTGTGGCGATATTCGTTCGATCAGTAAGGTCGTGTTTTAAGGTCGTGTTTGTCCAAACGACGTACTGCATATTTTTCTTTTCTTTTTTCGTGCACTTTGCCCTGCGAGCCTATCCTGACAAAATAAAAGTTAATAAAACTTGAGCCCCTTGAAAACTATGTGTATTTTTTGCTACGCCAGTAAGTGACTGCGCGTCTCCTTCTTTTGAGAGATACCGCGGAAACTGCTGTCGTGCTGACGACCTGCTGCGCGTTGTACCAGTGTATGGGACCAGTCTCATGCTATCGCTGTAGCGCAACATATCGATTTAAATTTCGCTCAGCTGCGATATGTCCATGGCTATCGCGGTGATGAGAGGCGCCAATTCAGAAAATATGTCGGTGGCATTGGCACCATCAGAGCAGTAAAACTATGGTGCCTTGAACGCGTCTCCGATTGGTGTGTTTACCGCCTCCAAAAAAGTGGTCCGTCGATTTCCACCCGATGACGTCATAAAAGTATCATGCTGTCGCCGGTCGCGATCCTGGCAGCGTCCCAACAGCTGTGGTATATGCGGCAGGTGCCTGTTCCGCTGCATGTCGCTCTCCAGTGTGGCAGTCCACGGAAGCTTCCGCAGCCTAAAGTTGGGACGCCGTGACGACAGCGAAACTCGCGTTCGGTTGTGTTACTCGCAGCCTTCTCGTTAGCATTTTTACGACTAACCGCCAGGTTCGCGACATGCAACAGCAGGACACGTAGGCTTCTGTGACGTCATTTGTTGCCACTCCGGGACCCCTTGTGATGTATGGTCAGTACAGGACGCTAAACACACCAGTCGAAGACGCGTTCTGGGCACCGTAGTAAAACCCTGTGGTAAAACCTACCGGCACACTGCCGGCTCGCCGCTAACGCTCCTATTCTCCTGCTGCTGAGAGAACTTCCGCTTCCGGTCAGAGCGCACGTAACGACCGTCAAAATTACGCTGCGGCTTGTTTTGCGGTGAGTTGGAGAGAAAGAAAAACTCGATATTTAAATAATTTTTCGTGTAAAAGTTAATAAACCGAAACGAAAACAGTGAACATTAAAGGTTCAATGTAAAAGTTATTTGGCAACAGTAAAAAGGTCATTTCATGGTCCTAAGATGTACGCTTCTATTTCTTTTTACTCCTAAAACGGGTCGAAAGTGTTTTTGCCACACGCGAACCTAAGGCAGGGTGGCTGGGCTTGTGTAAACCACTGCTCGAAATGCGGTTTGTTTAATATGCACTGCAAAAGCCTTGTGGTGCTTTTTTAACTGGTATTGGCGTGATCTGTTGCTTGTTATTGTAATAACAAAAAAAAAAGTAATTTCATGGTCCCTTTAATTTTGAGCGTGCCTATGTTCTGTGTGTTGGTTTTCTCTTCCGCTCTCAGCCACTTCGCGGAATACGTGGCGAGGCGGCGGCCTAGAAATCCCCAGGTGGCTTGTTCGAATCCCGGCCGAGGTTTCCCAATCTGACTGAGGATTTTTGCGGAAAAGTAGAAGTACTTGTTGTTGAACTATTTGGTGATGAACATTTTGAACCATGGTTAACAACGCTAAAAAGACGAATACAAGAGAGAATACAAACACGGGAAACGTTAGCATGTGTCAGATATGATGCGTGGGTTTGGCACGTAGGACACCCAAATTTGGCTTTGATCTCTTTTGGCCAGAACAGCAGTGGAGAGAGGGGGAGGGGAAAGGGGGGGGGCGGATTTGTGTTGTCGGCATTTTACTTTTGTTTCTAGTTGGAAAATTGTTAATTAGGGCTGGGGGAATAGCGGTTCGAATGGAATAGCGCAGCGTCATTCCCAGCCTCAACATGGTAACCAGAGTCCCTATGTAGTCGGTTTCACCAGCACTGCGAAGTTTATGGATGAGGCAGAGTTCTTCGATTCGAATTGCTATTCGCCAACCCCTATAGTGTTCACTGCTAAATACGATTAACGTGCGTGTTTTATTTCAGGAATTATTTCATGGAAGATGTTGTGGACGAATGTACGTGGTTTGGTGAGATGTGGAAATGTTGATGATTTGGCACTAATGACACTGGAACAGGGAATGTGTCCTCGCGTAAACATTATTTGCACATCAAAAAAGTGAAAGCCGTTTACAACTCCCTGTAACGCCGAATCGGAGCGCAGCTCTTGAGGAGGAGGAGGGAAGGGTACTGAGGGGAGGGTAGACTCCTCCTCCTTTTCCTCCTTCTCCTCCTCCTCCCCTCATTCTTGAATATGCTCCGTGGGGGTCACCTGACCTCGGGGGGACGGGGTCACGTGACCTCGGGGGAGGGTCACGTGACTTGGGGAGTCACGTGACCTTGGGTGTCACGTGACCTTGGGGGTCAAGTGACCCTGAAAGAGGGGTCACGTGACCTTGGGGGGTCACGTGACCTCGCGGTTACGTCGACGGCGACGTCGACGCCGCTCAAGCCGGAAACAGGCGCCTAAAAGCTGCGCTCTAAAAGGAAAAGACCCACACCTCCTAGAAAACAATACCTACTATTTTACAAGCAACAATATATTTCATTCGGCTGCTTTGAATTAGACAGCGCATGTGCCTACAGAGCCAACTCTTCCACGAGTGGTATGGACACATCGCGTCCTACCGAACGCACACGCATCGCGCTGTCCTCACCGCCGCGCAGTCGCACGTGTCCGAAGGAGAAGACTGCCTATGGCGCACTGAGATACTAGGTTCACCAACATAGCAGTGACGGCTTCCTCCAGTGCCGCTGGAGTATTTACGACGATAAATGGCAGCAGTCACCGCTCCCAATCGATAAGGAAAACTCTAGGGCCCGTTTGCTCGAAGCCGGTTAACTTATTCGCGGTTAAAAGTTAACCGCCCTTCCCTGCTAGGTACGTACAGGTCCCGTCAAGTAAAACGGAGCGCCGGATCGGTGACCGAACTGCATCGCCGCGCTATCTAGCAGCGCCGGCTGGAACTGATAGGCTACATCTGCGCATGCGGACGTGCCTTCCGCTGGGGCCTCCGTTTTCTTCTTCCCACCCACGCGTAATCGGTGGTTCGAGCGGCGCAACGCTCTTCCTAAAATCGACGCCTGGTAGCACAAGGGGCGGTGCTCGTCGACAACACTCGCCCATCTCTCACACGTGCCTTCGGTGTTATCTCCCCGTGCGAGCCCGAGCCGAACACCTAGCGGTGTTTATCGGAACACTGTTTGGCAGCTCGAGACGGCATTAATGCGAGGATCAAAAAAGAAAGACGGAGGACACCGCGAACGGCACGCGCGCATGCGCAGGCGGCATCTATCAGTTGCAGCCGGCGCTGCTAGATAGCGCGGCGATGCAGTTCGGTCGCCGCTCCGGCGCTCCGTTTTACTTTGACGGCACCTGTACAAGTACCTAGCCAAGTTTGACGAGGGCTGTATGAGCGATAGCTCTGTGTTTTATTATGGAATGGTAGCTGGTGTCACCTACTGGTTTGTTGCGAATGTAAGTGTCTTCCGTGGAAAAAATTCCCGAAAAGGAGGGACCCAAAAACGCGCGCTACCGGGTTTTCGCGACGCTGCGCGGCATACATTTGAGCAGACGCATTTTTTGTGGCTCGTGGTACAGATATTGGGTAAGGTAAAACTATGTTCACCCTTCTTTGGAAAATTTCGAAATGCTTGGCTGTCTGGATTGGAGACAAGCCTCGTTGAAATTTCCTTCCAAGTTCGAAAGAGGACGACGAAGTTCAGTCCTATAGAAACGATAAGAAGTGAGCAGTGAAAGCCGGGCGGTACACCGGCAGCATGGTTGTCCAGCATGTAAGGACTGTAAATAACACCATCATAGATTGAAAAACCTGTGATTAGGCTCCAGTGAAAATATACCCATTTGTAAATTACTCAAGCATCGAGGAGAACGCTGGAAGTGTAATCAAACCCCTAGTAAAATATTTGGTGTAATTCTACGGTCCGCGCGCGCTGGCCTTCCCCTCATAAAAGAATCGAAGTAAATAATCATAACAAAGCTTTGACGAACGCGCGTGCAAGGCAAAATTTCTTTCCGGCTTTTTGCTTTAGAACAGTTACTACTGCAGACGTCAGCACGTGCAGCGCGTGTAACTACGCTCGTAGCATGCACAACCTCGGTGCTTGGGAAATTTAGCAAAAGTTCTATTGGGACGCTGTCTGCTTTTGTGTGCTATCAATACCCGGCCGATTGAGTCAAGGCAATCCACTCTCCAAAGACGTTGCCATGCCGACTATTATCGCGTTCATTTAGGCTTAGGAATGGCCAGAAGCGAAAGACTATCTAAAACATGTGGCGCTGTCATTGCTCGTGCTTTACGATTAAGTGAGGTAAGGCAAAGCGAAAGCCCCTTGCACCATTCATTGCTGACTAACGCGCCCGATATTGCAGCTACAACAACATATTAGTTCCAGAGCGAGCGGCGCTCACTCACCGAGGCGCCGGCATGTTTTCCCGCCGTCCTTTCTCTGGCGGTCACGTGACCTAAAATTGTCCCTCGTAGGGAAATGCGGTTAACTTCTAACCGCGGTCAGGGTTAACCAGCTTCGAGCAAACGGGCCCAGAGATTGCGGCATGTGCAGCGATTCCAACCACGCAAAGCCTGTTCACTCTAAAACAAAAAAGGGAATATTCCTCCACCCCTTGTCACATATTCGACACCCCAAGACTTCAGTTGGATGTACAGCGAACTGACGTGGTACTGACGCTACCAAATTTTACGAGCGGCTTGATAGCCGAGTTTTACAACTTATTAAAATAGCTGATAAAAGTGTGTCTGATTGCAAAAAAAGTTATCGGGGTTTTCTTGGCTCAACTGCGAAACCTCTTTGTTTTTTTGTTTTTTTTTTGTATACTTTTATGAGTACTTTAGCTGTTTAATGTGTTATATCGCACTGTCATCAACCTTCTCGCAAAAGTTGGAGCAGTCAGTTCGACGTCAGCGCGCTGCACGTCCAACTGAAATTTCGGGTGTCGGATATGTGAAAAGGTTGTAAGAGTATAACCACTTTTTTAGGGTATTCGCGCCAATGCCATTAGATATTTGCGGTGTAAATTATGTTCCCTAGTTAGTCATTTGACAGCGCTTACGTCACTTAAGTTTGTTGACTTATCTACTTGAAAATTCTTGGTCTACGCGCCAGAAGGCGGAGCGACGTCTCAATTTCAATAGGCATTATGGCGTCGCTCCACAACTAAGATCTCCAAAACATGCGACAAATCGGGGCTAAAACACAGACTTTCAAATCTCGCAGTGTAATAATTTTGACAACTTCTTTAAAGGAGCTGTGCAATGATTTTAACGTTGAAAGGTTTTGCATCCTATACTTTTGACATTGTTTATCTTGTCACAAAGGACAGAAAACACATCTCCTTCCTTCGAAATGTTGTGATTCCGCCGCGTAATCGCGAGGAAAAAATGAGAATATTCCCCGACCTGCAGCCACGAGCGGCGGCCATGAGAAACACGCGACGTGACGTCGATGGGGGTCTTGTAGAAAGATAGCAAGTTGTGCGAATACCTGCATGATAAAAGGTAACTTTTCTATAAATCTTGTCGTTCCAACATAAATATAAATGAGTCAAAAACCTGGTGCCAGCGACAAAAATTTTATTATACAGAGTTTTAGTGGCGCCATCTATCCTAGGTCCACAAAACCGTCAGCTCTATCTGCTACCGTGAACAGCCGCCAGAAGCCGGACGGGCATGGCAGGACCCGGATGAGACTCTCCTCCTTTCACCATATTTCGCGCTGCGCCAAACCGGCACGTGGTCACGCGGTCGCGAGCGAATGAGTTCTCGCTGCTCACGGATGGCTCTAGAGAGAGACCTTCACCGGAACCCCGCGCGACCCTCCTTGACGTCACAGCGCACGTGACTCGGAAGATGGTGAAGTAGTTGAGAGGTGCCGGAAACCTCAATCTTTGTCCATTTTTAAAAGAAAAACTAGGACATGCAAGCAAAAGCGATTTTTTGTTCTTTACTTCAGAAGGTCGAGACACCAACTCCCAAATTATATAAGAAAAGCACTGAAACTGTCGCACAGCTCCTTTAAAGTCCCTAGAAATATCTTTTCTTCAAGTTCAGTACCAACTAAAACTTTTGCCTCCAAGAACAAAAAAAAAAAAAGGTTTTTCTAATTTTTATATAACTTTAATAAGAAAGAAAACAGTCGTTCGACTTATTGAACATTTCTGCAAATCGGAAGTATAAAGAGACACGCATAGATGGCATATTCTCCAAAATGAATTCAAAATATAAATATTGCATCGTAGTGCCCTGCATTATATTAGTTGGAAAACAAATCAGATTGCCTTCGTGCGATTAATGCGTCATCGGTTTTAGACTAGAGCACAATGCTTCCGATCAGCCTGCTCGAACAAATATTAACCGTCTGATTTCATTCTAGCTACGACGGAGGTCGGAGGCCTGTGTGGGAACGCCAGCATGGGAATTTTCTACGATGACGGAGTTTCCTTTCTGGGAGTTCATGCACTGAGTCGTGAGCTGGCTTTCCTGTACGTTTTCTCTCGCAAAGTGGGCTGCATTGCATCCATCTTTTATTTGTTCTTGACGGCCCCTTACTCATTCAGTGTTTTGTTCGAGGCTTAAACAAATGGTTTCTAAGCTATAGCCATGGACATTTTAAGCACCTATGAAGTTGCGAGTCGGGAGCGTCTTATCATTACGGTACAAGTCGATAAAAAGCGCAGACGAACAAATTGTGACACAAAAAGCGTGAACTTAATGACTCCCACCCTGCACAATGGCCCGAGACCACCAAGGCACCTGATCACGCCTGTCGGGGGGTGCACTGCTAGCGTCAAAATGCAATCTTGACTGCGTTTTTTTAAGTTGTCGGTAACTGTAGACCTTTCATGCCTACATCGGTCCCCAGAAATGCAGTTCCCATATCCGAAATGCGAGACAAAAAAACAAAATATTACAATCTGGCACAATGGACATTTTGCTGAATTACCTGAGCATAAACAGGAATGCCGGGAATGTAGGTACACGCGCTGGGCGTGCTGGCGTCTTGAATTGAATTGGTTTTATATAGACACTAGGTCAAGGGTAACAGGACAAAAGGCAGATTATCTGTGCCTGACGTGGTCCTATCACCCGTTTACAATGCTCAGCAGGCGAAAACAAGAACAAGAAAAGAAACAGCAAGAAAACAAGAACTTCAGCTTTAACTGTTCGAAAACCAAAATCTAAAACAACTAGCACATCGCACACGCACCACCGACCCCTGATTTCGGTTATATACCTCGAATATTTTCTATAGGGAAGGCAAGCACGTGCAGCGCTACGTACCTACATTCCCAACATTCTCTTTGATGCTTGGGTAATTTAGCGAAAGGTAACATGAATGAGCAAAATTCGCAAATAAAACGTGAGTACTTTCCAATAAAGTGACGTTAGAAGAACGATGTTTTCCCGCGCATATTGAAACTGCTCCGATTCAAGGTAGCGACACTAACGTACAGAAAGGTTTATAGACATTTTCACTGTGTATGTACACCAGTCGTGTTGATCCCCCCCCCCCCCCCCCCCCCCCCCCGCCCCCCCCCCCCAAGAGACTTTGGGTCGCACCGTTTCGGCATGCTTTCCGAGCCTGGTGATGGAAAAAAAAACATTTTTGACGATGAAGTTCTACACAACTCATGAACTTTGGGATCTAGAAAAGTCCTTCTGCTGTGCTATGCGCCGAGAAACGGAGGGGAAAGGAGGAGACGAGAGCGCAAGGGGGACGTTAGAACGCCGAACTCTGGTTGATATCAACGAGATAACCCAGGAACTCTAAATGTTTTGTCTAAGGGGCCGCAATCTCAAAAGCGATATGCCGCAATCTCAAAAGCCCAAAAAAAAAAAAAAAGAGGAATTGTAATTTAAGATTAACAAAGTAAATAAATCTTGATATTTATTTAAACACATACATTAATGTTAGAGCATGTATTAAAAAGAAAAAAAAAAACCTAAGGTGGATGAATACGTATGCATCAAATTAAAATTTAATATTTAGGTAATGATGGCATTACACAACACGTATGACCAAGACAACTCGCCCGGCATAAATCAAAGAGCATGGGCACCTTGCCGCATTCGTGCAGTGCAAACGACTAATGAGAATTATAAAACTAACTCTACAACATCAAATAGTTGCGACAGAGGACACTAAGCGCAATGTACACGATAACGCAATGGAATTTTTACATAGACAGACATGAAGCAGGGGACTAAGAATGGAAATGCTAGTGATGACAATTTTGAATTAATTATATGGCGAGAAGACCCGTGTTACGATGCAGTTTCAATAGTTCTTTTTGGTATCTTCGTTTGCGCAATTGGAGCGTGTCGAAAGAAGGCGACGAAGGGTTTCCACGCCGAAGCGCCATTTTACCTCTTTTTACTCTTTTGCTAAATAATAGCGTGCAATCGATCCCTCCGCTACTGCAGTCAGGGTTCATCAACCTCGACCCCGGCGTGGCATCTGTAGACGGGGGCACATCGCCCCCACAACTCCAGACCGCAACCAACGGACGGACCCATTCAGTGGAGGTGTAGTCATTACAAATGCTATATATATTCTTATTTACATATTTACATTGAAAGTTAAATACGGGTCAGTCTGAGGGAACGAAGATCCATGGCTGGTTGCTGCATCTCGACCGGCGTTCTTTCGTGCCTGCGATGGTGTCGGGCTGCGCGTGTCTCGAGCCTTGCTCCTGCTTGGCTCGTTGCCAGATGCGCGCGCTTGTGCGCGGTACTCTGGCTTGTTCAATGTTGGTCTATAGGTCTATAGCGCAAACAGTGATTGAAGACGATTTTGGCGCGCTTTTTACTAGTCGTCTCTCCGGGAGACAAAAACGAACGGGTCACCAATTTGTATTCATTAAAATGTTATATACATTATTATTTACATATTTACATTGAATAATGATAATAATTGGGGTGTGGGGGTGCTTATACAGCGTGTAGTTGGTCAGCCATTAAATTTGCGACGAGTCACACGCTGTAGATGAGCAATTTAGCCAGTGCAGTACAACCGCTAGCCTGGGGTCTTTAACGTGCACCACGCAGTAGTGATACACGACCGCACGCCGGTACGATGCTCATGCAGATCGAAACGGGCAGGGGTGGGGCTCGAAACCAGGATCCCTGGGTTCTGCATGGCGAGCTTTCGCCCCACGTGCGTCGAGCTGGGTGTGCGCTTCAGCCCACTCGGCCACCGATCCCCCCATTTACATTGAAAGTTAAATTCGGGCCAGTCCGAGGGAACCAAGATCCAAGGTCGGTTGCTGCATCTCGACCGGCGTTCTTTCGTGCCTGCGATAGTGTAGGGCAGCTCGTGTCTCGAGTCTTGCTCCTGTTTGGCTCGTGGCCAGATGCGTGCGCTTGTGCGCGGTACTCTGGCTTGTTCAATGTTGGTCGCGACAGAGGCATTCTAAAGACTACCCGAACGACATGCTCTGCCGAACGGCGAGTGAACGAACGCGGACGAATCTTTGACGTTTGAAACGAAAATGTGCATCGACTCCCTGACCGCTGGGCAGCATTTTCCCAGCTTTATGGACACTGACAATCCGACTTCAACAGACGACGGAGGCTACACTACAAAACTATAAAAAAGCAAAAAAAAAAAGAAAAGAAACAACGACAAAAAAAACGTGTCGTCAAGCCAAGGGTGTGTTTTCGAACCGTACAATGTTATCCGTTGAGGCCCGACCTGGGACTCTGACTGCAATCTTCAAACCAGTAGATAAGATTAAACTGATTACCAAATTACACCAACTAAAACTGACAGAGCTACTTGAGTCAAAAGTACCCGCGTCCATTCTTTAAATCCGCCCGACCTACAAACTCAGCCTGATCTTTGCCGATGCAGAAATTCTGAAGGGCTTTCATCTCTTCTGTAAGTGACATCTCTGCTGGGAATCGCTGTCAAATCTATCATCCCCGTTCCCGAGCCCAACCGAGGTCATCAGAGTTCGCGCCAACATCGACACTTCCGAGGTACATGAAGAGTTAAAGATCGACACCGACACATCCATTGCATCTGTTCGTCGGTTTGGTACGTCTACCACAGTAGCCAAAACTATCTCTTCATTAAGACTTACTGGGTACGTTTTACTCGGTTTTGTACCCATTCATTGAAACGCCAATCTAATTCCATATTGATGAGCACCACATTTTGTTCAATGTGGTGCTCATCAGTGTCGCCCGGGCATTATGGAGCACGGTGCACATATCCATCAAGGACGGCGATATTTTTATTTGGGCGACCGGTGTCACACGTCAACATTTCGGGCAAGACTCCAGAGCGCTCCTAAGAATATTGATAAATATTTAACGGAACGTGGACTTTAGATATCAACTTTCAAGTAAGCTGCCATTCCATTTTCTCGCAAGTGCATGGACCGATACCCCATTACCATAATGGCGAAAAATGCCGGACGTCTGAAAGCATAAATTTCTTGGAGTAGCCCTGGACCGTTGCTTAACGTGGAACCCTCATGCATCACGACTGAAATGTAAGCCGATGTTCATAGTGCATTTCCTACGTTTCATTAGCGACCCACCGTGGGGCGAAACTGTAGGGTGCCTACAGTGACTGTTCGAGGAGTTCTTTTTTGATCTTCTCAGATAAAGCCTACCAGTTCTCAACAGTACCCACATCACCAATCTTAGAGTCCTCCAAAGCATAGAGGCACAAGAACTACGAGTATATCTGGGGTTACCCCGATCAGCTTCGACATCCGGAAAAATCACGGTTGCTCGCAGGCCCCCATTTGTAGCATGCATTGTACAAGAAACGTTTCGATTACTTTTAAGACACCTGACAAGACAGCCCAGACACCACTTGGCTACGTTTAATTTGTGTAGACCGACATAAAGTTTTTCTAAAGTCATAACTAAGTGCAATTCTTTTAGATGATTTCGTTCCTTTCTCAAAGAAGGATCTACCACCATGGTCTTTCTTGGCTCCACAAGTGGCACTGCACATCAAAGACGTATCTCGGAAGGCATCGACTCCATCCCCTGTCCTGAAATAAATTTACATTGAGGGTTATCAATAAAACTTATGGTTGGACAACGCAGGTGTATACCGACGCGTCCTCATCTAAGGGATTCTCTAAAGTTGGAATTGTGGTTCCTTCCCGCAGCCATTCCATCAGTCTCAAGCTCGGACGCGAAACGACATAAGCAGCTCATCCAAATTAACGGTCATACCAGAGGCTATACAATACATCATGTCCCAAAGACCACAACGCTGCACAATATTGGGTTACTCAAGGCCGGATCTACAAATATTATTCATTTATAAAGCACAGCGAGTATGAACTGCTGGCATACCAGATCTGTTGTATTTTCCACGGTTACGAAGCACACTAAAAGGGTCATCAAATACTTCACTGGATAGCAGGTCACTGTGGTGTCGCTGAAAATAAGGCATCAGATAGTGCCGCGAAATCAGCTAACCGTGCAGCAATACAATATACTCTAAACGACTTCATTTTCGCGAGGACCTAATTTTCGCAAATTTCGCGAATCACCTACATTTCGCGAAAAATAGGTCCCGCGAACAATTCGGGTAAAATGTATATACATTGAAGTCTATATTGAGATCACACCGCGTCGCGAAAATAAAAACCCGCGAAATTTTCCAAAACTTCAGCTTTTACCTCAATCTCGAAATATTGAGCCCGCGAAAAATAAGTCGTTTACAGTATACACATTACTCCCGCCGTGACACCAGCGCTCTGGTTTAAAACATGGAAAAGGCACTCTCACTGGAATACTGGACGAATGCGAGCTACCACCCCTCCAGGGTATACTGTCTGGACCCTCAACTTAAATTCCGCATTCCATCTAGACGTCCGAGACAACTGGGGACGGTTCTGTACCGCCTGCGCCTTGGCGTGGAATTCACTCCGAAGTTTGTTTGCCAAATCGGAGGGAGAGACTCCGCGGACTGCACCAATTGCGATGTCCGAAAGTATGATTGAACACACCTTATGTCAATGCCGTCAGTTCAACAAGGAACGTCAAGTGCTACGACAAAGTTTAATGGCGATGGAGGCGAGGCCTTTGAGCATGTTGAAAGTTTTAGCGGCCTGGGACACAGTGGACCAGTTCACATGGGCCACGAAGGCCTTAGTAACTTTCCTTACGAGCACGACTTTGTCGCATACTGTGTAAATGCTTGGAGATATGTGTGTGAACAGTGAACTACCATCATTGACCCCTTCATCCTTCCTTCTCCTCTCTATGCCTTCTCTTGCCCCTTCCCCTAACCCCCCGTACAGAGCAGCAAACTAGAACCTACATTCAGATTAACCTCTATGTTTTTTCTTCACAAACCTATCAATAAAAATTGGAGCACGTCGCGGCGACGTCTTTTTACTCGCACTTCCTTTTGAGCCGCTAGCAGCGAGCCTGCTGTATGCAAGCCGCAGGCCGGGCTCCAGTGGAAAGACCGCGGCCAGCAGCGGGCCGGTCGGAAAACTTCTGCGGACCAGATTTGACAAGCGGGCCGTAGTTTGGAGACCCCTCAGATAACCTGACCAGTAAACCCGAGAAACTGAGGTCGGTACACGGAATAACATGTGGCCCTGCATACGCGCGCGTGGGTTGTCGGATGGCGGATAGGCGGGCGTCGTTCGCACGGCGTGCCCCGATGCTAGGTGGTTGCTAAGAGGTGGTTAAGTGGTTGCTAGACGGGACATAACTCATGTGAGAGGAGTCAAGATGCAGCAAGAGGTCATTGAGGACAATAGATGGCCAAACTCTTCCCCTACCTGTGACTGTGCTCCCTCCGGACAGCGTACACCATCTGCCGGTGGCAGCTTTCACTACACGTGTATTGTCCGCAAAGCGGCGGCGTACATTGCCAAGAACACGATTCTACATATATATATATTCTTTTTAACAAGGTAGGCTCATTCTTTGATTTTATTCGCCGTAAACTTCCACGAGCTGCTTGCACCTCTGTAGTAAATCGCAGCGCGTTGCGTTCAGAAATCGAGTTTTACGGGCCGTCTAAAGTGCCTTGAAAGCGTTAGTTTACATCCTGTAATGTGTCCGTTTTGTATGCATTCCAGCCTTTCACTACGCTGTAATCTATGGCGAAACAAACTATAGTAATCAAAACCATATCTCAGTCATTGTTCTACGTGACAATATGGTTTTCTTTATAGTTTTATCTTTTCTCGCATATTACCGGATAACTTTCCAGCTAAACAGCGAAATTTTAGTGTCACGTGACACCACGGTGTCTCGCGACCATACCATGTCACGTGACAATACCATAGGTGACGTTATGATATCACCTAACATCGCAGTGTCACATCAGAACCATCTGCTATATTTGGCAAGACGTAAGACCTCAAAATTTAAACACGGCAATGTAACGGTGCGCGTCAGCGTGTGGAGGGTGCAGCGTCTTGTCTGTGGCCACAGTTCACTTAAAGGACACGACGATGAAGTGCCAAGTATTTGTAGTTTATTCACATTCTGCATGGAAGACATTTTCCCACCTCGTATATAATTCTTCATCACAATTATCCGTAACGAGCTCGCGTTCCTCATGCAAAAACTAACTTTCCAAACGCTCCTCCCTTATGTTCGGAATCAGTCACGAGCATCACTGGGCATCCGAAATGAACTTGACCACGAACCACAAATGTTTACTGCTTTAAAAAGAAGAGAAAAAAAAAAGAAGAAAAGGCTGGCAATATATTTCGCTTCGCCTCAAGCTCGAGCGCAGCCGATTTGTGCCAATGGGTCCAATCAAGCGGCTCTAAAATCGCAAGACCGCGACGTTTCTAATATTTCTGCTCATGTGCTATCATCGATGAGGCCGGCCAAAGGTATTGAAGGCGCTGTGACTTTAGGCTTTCAGGAGATCTGTTTGTTTATGCGTGGGCTCTCGCCCCTCACGGACTTATAAATGAAACGTTGTATAGACCGCCTTTTACCCTTAAAAGAGTTTGTTACTTTTTGCTAATAGTTCCATAATTCTTTAGTAACAGACGGAGAGCCACGCTTGGAAGCAGGCGCAAAAAAGGTCACTGCGGTATTCCACCAACCCTTCTTGCATCTCTTGACCCTTCCGCGCAGAATCGGGGCTACCAGAGATAACAGAAGCCACAAGGGATGCGCACTGAAGGACAATTATTTGACAGGCCCGTTTGACGACAAAACAAGGTTTTACCTTTCTCCGTGCGCTGAGACAGCTGTTGAAACATTTTTTCTCAGGTAAGTTATTCTTTACTTCTGTAGACCCGTGAACAACGAAAGCGGCGGTATAATTGTTATTTTTATATTAAAAGAAAGAAGAGGTCACTTTCCGTTAGTGTTTTTTTTTTTTATCAAGAGAAGTGAGTAGGAGATTTGAAATTTGAACATTGAACTTTATTTCAGCAAATTTGTGCCGAGGACACCGGGTCGAAAGCTCCGAATAGGAAGCACGACTGAGTCCGGTGTCATCTGCATGCAAGCTCATATAGAGTAGGTCGTACGATATGCAGTCTGCTGTAGTCACTGAGAGCTTAAAAAATGTAAGGCATGGCGAGCACTGCGCATCTTACTTTTGCCCAACAGTCAATAGTTTTGCGATAAGAACGCCGGAACACGAATCACAAAGCAAGAGGCGGAACCATAATGAGCCATGTCCGGCGTACCTTAAGCTGTGCATCACTACATCCATCTTGGACTGAAGATTGCGAAGGTCATTTGATGCTCGATTCTTATTTCAGGGCATACGTAAGTTCGGTAAAACGTTATTTAGTTGTTTTTTGTTTGTTTTGTTTATGACTGCGCATTGCTTGTTTTCTGGCTACATATACTAAATGGACTGAAATGAGGAAGAATCCAGTCTATGAGGAGCTTGACAAGGTTCGGGCCCTCAAGTTCGTAAAAAAATGCAAAAAATCCGAAAAAAACTGTAAAAATAAGAACAATAAAAACGAAGCAGCAATATGAGGGAAAGTTATTTAATATACAAAATTGTGACAACGGGTCACCTTCAATTACACTATTCACAGTTTATCCAAAAATGTATTAACAAAAAAAAAAATATCCGACGTACAAAAAGTTGAGAGGATGGGTAGATAAGTGTTGGAGCAAATATATTATCCTCGATTAACTTGTGTAGAAAAGGATGACGGTGATTTAGCATTTTGTACTACATAGGTGTCTTGGCTGTGAGTATTTTTTAAAATTTCCCTCGACATTGAAATAGACTGTCTGTGAAGGCCGGAAACAAATTCGCCTCTCCCGTGGACACTCTAATAAATAAATCAATATACCGGGTGTTTCCGCGAAGTCTTTCAAATATCTCTAAAAATGGGTGTTTGAGAAAAAAAAAATATTTTCAGGAACAAACTGCCGGCCACGCTGGACGTCGAGGATTGCAAACAACGCACTAATAAGCTAATTACTTAACTAAAATTTCCACGCTACCGTTTTAATTAGTCAAACAGCAACAAAAACTTTTTGTGTATTTTTGAAAACCTTTAAACCAACTCAATTTGAAAATATTTAGATATGTACAGCAATTGACGGCGTTTTTTTAGAAAAAAAAATCCTACATTTGGGCGCGTTTTTAGGTTTAGGTTTCTTATCGGAGCGCATCTTTGCGCGATCAGTCTTGTTCCCGCATGGCGCCAAGATGCGCCTCGCCTCCTTCTGTATGATGGAAGAAAGTATGGCGCACGTGCGTTGCGCGTCTCTGCCACCGGGGTCCAGAACTAATGGCGCAAAGCTGCGCTCCGACATGAAACCGAAACCTAGAAACACGTCTAAATTAAGCGTTTTTTTTTTTTTCGGATCGCCGTAAAATACTTTTTTGCTCTATAGTTTTATAAAATGAGGATTGCAAAGAGAAAAAGTATGCAGGCGAGCACTGCATTGTTAGGAAACATTATAATCGAAACATCGAGACAAGGAAAAATAAAATAGGGATGTCCCCTATTTTATTTTTCCTTGTCTCTAGGTTTAAATTATGATGGCTCTGAAATGAGTTGATTTTGTGGTTTTCGACGTTGCTCAACAGGATTCTGCATGAAACCCTATGTTTATCCTCAGGAAGTAAAGCGTTGATGGGTACATTTTCGCTCATTATTGAGCTGATTGGTATATTTTCCTCCACTTCGTGATATCCCCATAGCTGGCAGTGTGTTTCCGGAAAGAGTTTCGTTTTTCTAGACCACCCTATTCCTAGGGATTTTTGAAAGCCTTCGCTGAAACATCCGATATGAGATAACATTACCCAGGATAGAACAATGGCTTAGACGTTATTGACGATTTTATATTTCTGTGATGTACTTTATTTCAGCAAGTACAACCATAATTGCTGGAGCGATAAGCCAACACCAATAATACACAATAACTGGACACTCCCTAGCAAGTACCTTGAAGACTCTCTTACCAATGGGGAAGTCGATTTATGTAGTGCTCATCGATTTTATCTCGAGCTTAAATCGTGCAAGGTAAGTTTCAGTCGTATTCTTTTTTATTGTCAGATGCTACGACGCCCTTGCTATTTTAATTTCAAGTATGAGTGTTATGCGGGAAAATAATTTGGGTTGCATTTTTCGACAGATTTGGGGTAGAGTGTGCACGTTGACACTATTGTAGGCTAAGCTCTTGGTAAACTTTGATATTTGAATTTTCAGTCTTAAGGTGCACTTCTTTATTGGCATAAAAATTAACGCTTACAAAACCTTGGTTAGACTTGTGCTTGAAAATATCGCTCAGGTGGAGGATCCTTATTCAGCTGTACGCATGGAAAAATCAGAGAACGCAGAAATATACCTTGCAGTTCATAACACACGCAATAAAAACGATTATGTTACTCCACTGTCATGAGTTCCTATCAAGAAATTGTTATACAGCGAGGCTAAACCTTTTGTACACATTACCAAACAGCGATTTTAACCTTGGTCCTTCAAGGTATCTAACGACACGACAGCTCCGAGCTGTACGATGTTATGACATTAGGACGCTGTTTCCGTATATTTTCCGCACTGACACTTAATTCTCTTCCCGAAAGAATTGAAGAAAGAAATAATGTTTCTGAATTCCATGTCAACTAGTACTCAGTCTACTTAATCTTGAAAGCTCTGGAGGGTTGTCCGTGAAAAGTTGACGACGTGCAGCTCGTTGTATCATTGTTGTTCTTGCATATTCATATTACTACTACGTATTTGCCACATTTTATTTACTTATTTTTGTCTATCTTCTTGTGCAGTAAACTCTTCTAAACCCTACCTACACAGGAGCCGTTTAGACGTAAGAAAGCAATGACAAGATGTGTTATAGTGTGAATTTTGGTTCCGAAAAGAAGTTATCAGTACTATGCATTCATTAAGAAATTAAATAATTAACTACCAACAATTTCATAAGATAACATCGCGGCCTATGTGAATATATGACACGCCGGGGACCTCATTTAGTTATAAATACTTTACAAGAAATTGCCAATCAAATAGCGTAAACATAAGAAAAAAAAAACCAAGAAGGCTTTTGCGAAGTCCTGTACGCTCATCCTTGTCCCGTGTGCCAGTAAGCCAATGTCACGTGAGAAACATTATAATCCAAGTTGCACGGCCCTCTGAATCGGGGTGGGACATTTACTTCCAGCCTTCTTGTGGGTCTCAGAGTCATCAAGAAGAGCTTTGCTTTTTTAGCTTACAAACTTAAACATTGAGGCAAAGTAATCAGGGAGGGCTACTTTTTACCTTCTACAAGGTTTATTAACGCATCCTGAAATGCAAAAAGGTTCAATGTGAAGACAATGTATCTGTGTGCTTCGAAGAGTGTTAAAGGTTTCGAGAGTGACTTTTACTGAACCATTTAGCATATTACACCAAAACTTCAATGAAGTTTCACTTGCAGTTATTAAAATTTGAACGTAAACATTTCTGACGTAAATCTATCGGGTTAGAAAAATAGACTGACTGAAATTTGAAACTCTACCCAAAGTTTAATAAAGACAAAATTCCTCGACGTTTCGGGACCAGCTCGGTTCCTTGTTCACGGGTGACTGTGGGTTGGATGGAGGGGGAGGCCGCCTATGTAGGCTGATCGCGATTTCTGTGTCCGGGGTTTTCCACGAAGCGACGAATCCCTGGCACATAGACGCTTGGTACAGTGCCCGACGACCTGTTGATGTTACCTTTTGTTGTGTGGATGTACCAGGATGCTAGGTGCAAACGTTTATTACGGCAGTGTCGTTCCGTGCCCAAGATCTCGCTTTTGTCAAAGGACACGCTGTGACCCAGTCTGCGTGTTCAGCGAGAGCGCTAGCTTGAACGTCGTTCTTCTTCGCGTCGTATTTGTGGCGGCGGAAGCGTTCCGGGAAGTTCTCCATGTAGGCGGCAGGGCTATCCGCGCACGGGATACGATAGATGAGGCCTTGGGACTTCTCCTTTCCCGGTCTGTCCTTGGGGAGGTACTTTTCTATTCACTTCGTCAAAATTTTTATAAACTATAAATCTTGAAGTATTAACACACTGCCTTGGGCCGTGATTAACGTCGAGTTGGGTGCGACCTAGAAGACACTGACTTGATCGAACGACGTTTTAGCGAACGAAGCCCCACCCATGATGTTTCACCGAAAGGCACTTTAGCGAATGGCGATGTTCTTTTGAGCGAACGGTGGATTAGCGATGCCGCTCTAGCGTCACCAATTTATCGAATCGCTTCGGAACTCCGTTTAGGGAACATAGTGACCTGCTTTCTTTATCTCACACCAAAATCAATATCATTGCGGTTGAAGCGCCTCTACCAGTTTTACAAGGGAGGAGATAACTTGAAAGATGTGCGCAGTTTTTGTTGCTTGTATCTTCTCCTTGTGGCTCTCTTCTGCCATGAATACAATATCAAATACAATTAAAAATAAATTATAATTACAATCGTAAAGCCATGTAACATCGCGTATATAATACAGTTTCCACTCAATAAATCAGACTCAAATTTTGCAGTTATCAGGACTGAAAATGTTCGGAAAGAAAAAAGCTTATTTTTCTATGGACTAACGAAAAAATACATGGAAGTTCGAAGCTCTTTGCTCGTCGTCGCAAAGGTTAGGTGCATATGCGCTTGACTCATGCGTTTCTTCATGCGGCCGATTTCTTCTGGGCCCTTCGACGTCAGCACCGACTCTGAGGGCAAGAACGTCAACAAGCGAGTTTCGGCGGTTTCGGCGTGACATGGTAAACAGTGAAAGCCGTGAACCAATTGGAGCGTGAGGATAAGACATGTGAAGACTTAACTCCAATGTTGACATCGCGTTGACACCAACAAAGCATTTATCGAACTTGTTTTTGTGTGTATACTTAGTATAAAAAGCTTTACTTCTAGTACAGAATGAGAAATTTGGGGAAAATAAATAAAGAAAGTATCTTTGAAGTAACTGTACCTTCACCTAGGAACATTTTTAAGCGAGTTCCTAGGTAGGTTCCTATGTACCTTTTCATATAAGTAACTAACTCTATCTTAGGTAGATTTTTGAAGTAACTTTTACAACCCTGTCGCCCTACATAAGCAGCTTCCCCCTTCGCCCAACCCAAGTCACCCGTGACCAAGGGACCGAGGAGGTCCCAAAACGTCGGCGAATTGAGTTTTTATTAAACTTTGGTTAGTGTTTTGAACTTCTGTCAGTCAGTTATTAAAATGTTATTGTCGAATCAAACTTTTTTAGTACCTGGTTCAGTAACAAATTAAATCGACTTAAGTACTCTCCAATAATGTACATTTTCTTTTACGATCTGATCTTGTCATTTCAAATTCTGAAGCTTGAAGGAACGAAGAGCAAGAAGGCGTTTTTTTGTGGTACATTTTTATGCATTCCTAAAAACGACGCAGCCCCACTGCTTGCAAGTTAACTGTTACTTGCCACGCATCGAACATGAGCGCATAGCGTGCGATAATTCTTGCCATCTGTTTTTACAGAATTATAGTTCTCACCGAAAGTCCCACTCCTGTAGGGTATCCTGCTGCTATCAAGACTCTAAAGAATTGGTTGATACCATATTTGAACCGGACGGAAGAGCTTGTGGCTTTCTTCGTGGAAACAAGGCAGGTATATTCTTATCCGTTGCTTGACGCAATCGATTACGCTAAAGCTCGTTCTCCCGCTAGTTCCCACCAGTGTATTTCAACAGCCGACGCACACATCACTCTTTTCACATTCCGTCGCCTCTCACTTTTCGGTTTCCTTTCCTTCTTGCTCTCAGTTTGGAGAGGAGAGTGGCGAAGGAGAGCGCCAGAGAGCACGGAGCGGAGGGCTTTAATAGGGAGTTTTCGTAGATGGTTTACGCCGTCCCGCAACCGCTCTCCCCAACCCGCAACGATAACCGGAACTCTACAGTTAAGGCCATCGGCGCACAGGCGGAGTAGCAAATTCTTCGTTGCAGAGGGCTTAGCGGAGGGAGAAACACGGTCTACGAAAACTCCCTAATAAAAAACGCAGTGGTAAGGGGGTAGACTGTAGAGGAAGAAAAAAAATCGTGTCTTGCCGTATATATAAAAAGAAAACCGGAAAAATTTAGGAAAGGTTGTTTTTCAAGTTCTTTATACTAGAAGCTTGGACTGTCTCAGAGAGAGAAAAAATTTATTGGCGCTTTACGTCAAAAAGTGACTGAGGCTTTGTGATATGCTCGAGAGATTCCTCAGAAAGGGACCATCTATGATTGGGGAACCTACTCTTCGCGGTTCGCCAGCTGAAACGAAACCTTAGGAATATTTTCAGCGTCAGTGACTGGGACGAGAAGCAAGCGTGCACACGATATCTGAAACGATCTTTACTCATTTATTTTAGAACCACTCATTTTAAATGCTGCCTTGATGAACCCCCTTGAAACGTACCCAATAATCAAAATGACGAGCGGTTTTAAAATAAGAGAGTGGGCCGTGTCTTGGGAACTGCATTTTTGTTGAAACTTTCTCATACCACATCTTTTAAAACGCACTTTATATTTTATTACGAAGAATAGCGTTCTTTACAGGTGGTGACATTTCTTCTTACAAACGTCTGTCATGCTTTAGGCATCTTCATTGACTTTCGTGAAGGCTTCTATCTCCAACAACGGCTGAAATGTTCTGTTGTTTTTCAGGCAGCTAGGTCGCTTTCTAAATTTGAGTTTAGTAAAAAGCATGATCGTAAGATTAAAACGATGAACGTAGAAATGGCGCTAACGATGGTTTCTCTCTACATAAGGCTAGATTAAAAAAATATTCACTTAGGGTGCATAATAAACGAGGACACGCGAAGGCAGATAGTTTTGACTGAACGAGTTAAATAACACTTTACCCACTTCCAAACTAACACTGACGTATAGTGGGTGATAGGTTAAGCATCCAGGACAAGCTCCTCCCACCTATTTCAACTTTGGCGGAGCGAACGCTGGAGAGGAGGCGACCTCCTCTGAGGCGTTCCTCTGCTTAAGTGGACAGAGAGTGGAGAAGCTTCCCCTGAACTCTCAACCTGTCGCCGACTAACTTTCAACCACGAGCGTTTAAAATGACCCGTTAATCGAAAGCCGGTTTGACACAACGTTTTAGGCAAGAAGAACTGGAAAATCATTTTCGGGCCTTTTTAAAACGATGCCTCGTGTGTCGCCTGTTGACTGCTAGACACGATGTCTTCAAGTAGCCGACATGGAAAGCGACGGGAAAGAAAAAAAGACTTGCAAAATAGGAAACATTAAAGATGGAATTCATTGCCACAGGGATGGGGGGAACAGCGCGTAGAAAAAGTAAGAATGGAGAGGCTTTGTCACCGTCTTCTCTGCAGCAGCGGATGGGAACGATCAAATACACTGCAGCAGAGAACCAATCGAAGAAGCAGGTATCCCACTGTATGTGAACAATACCACCTATAATATAAGGCCTGCGCGTGACGTCATCGCTTGTGGATCTCCGACTCGTCCCAGGCGGCAGACGCGCCGGAGCTCGACGTCAGACGCAGTAAAGCGGCAGACGCTTTCGCCTTGGCGTCGCCGCGTGCTCGTGTTGTGCTGCAAGACGCCTCAAGACGCACTGGCAGTGATGCATGGGAAGGTCCGATGCGTGGATACACTTTTGACGTCGTTTAAGATTGAATTGCGCAGTCCTTGTCCTCTAGTTAATATGCAAAGCGCAAATTCGTCTGCTTTATTTGTCTTTCTTTTTTGTTAGGGGGGGGGGGGGGGTGGGTTCGTGGTGATATCAGAAGGCCAAGCTCCGATTGACTCTGATTGAAGGATAGTGGGTAGACCTATAGCCTCCTCTATACTCTGAAAGCCTGGCCATTCGACGACGGAGCCATTGAGTGCCCGGTTGCATATTTCAAGCGCGAGGGTCTAGTAGCACAGAACAGCAAAGAGCAATTTCTCGGGGAACCTGGACGTCAGCGCACAGCTTTTGCAGCGGCGAAGATCCGAAACACACTTGTTCGCTTGATAGAAGTTTGTTTCGGCGTCTCGCCGCAGCGGGACGCTAGTCACGTGGCTGTCCTCACACGACTAGCGTCTCGCCGCAGCGGGACGCTAGTCACGTGAAAGTTAAGGCCACAGAAAGAGATTGGTGGCTAGAGGGAATGCAGACAAAGACGGCTCTGGAAAGCTATAGATTAAACAAAAGAGTTATTGCCAAAGAAAGCATTTATGACAATTCTAGGGGAAGCTCATTGCTGTTTGAGGCAAGAACGGGTGTTCTGCGAACCAGAACATACAGAGTGAAGTACCAGGAAATTGATACAGTGTGCACTGCTTGTGGAGAGGAGGACGAGACGGCTGAGCACTTGATACTCTACTGTAAAGGGCTTCACCCTATGCCTACCGAAGACAACATAGATTTAATAAAGTCATTGGGTTTTAGAGACAGCGATGGGAGAGTGGATTTCAAGACTGTAGAGATTACCAAGCAAAGATTAAGTGAATGGTGGCAGAAATCGAGAGAAAACTAGGTATTTTCTTATCCACTGATGGCAAGGGGGTTTCATAGCCTCACTTTCTTTGCACTGCGGAGTGAATATAGATTTCACATTTAAATATTCTAAGCTTAAATGGTAAAACAAAATGGCTAGGTGGCGTAAGCTACCGCCCGATCCAAAGGGCTCAGCCGTATTCATCCATCCATCCATTCATCCATCCATCATCCATCCTAAAGCCCCTTGATGTGTTTGCGTTTGTCTTGCAAGTAGCGTGAAATGCGTCAGTGCGGGAGGACCATGTCTCAAGCGACCCTTGGAAGCAAATGGCGGCGTAGCAGAGAAATAAGCTGCGCTTGGAAGCGAATGGCGGTGGGGTACCCGCTCGTAGCCCGCGTCTTGAGCGTTTCCACAACAATGGTTGGAGGTACTTGTAAAAAACACCTTAATCAAGGGGCCCCTCATCCGCAGAGCCGTTTGTTGGGAGAGTTTAGCCATTCATTGGTTCGAATAGGCGAGAATCTGGTGGCACACCACAGACCGCGAAACAACCCCTAGTGGTGGTGGTGAGCTTTAAAAATGTGGCTCAACTACTTTAAGCCGTTTTAGCGACGCTCGAGTAAAAAGGTGTAACTCTTCGTGAATAAAAAGTTGGCGCGTTTGAGGTTTTTGTCAAATCCCTATTCAACGTTACAATAAACGAACGCGTGTTCCGAACCAGAGCAAACTGCGTAGTTGCGATCATTGCTAATGTAATGTAACGCATGTAATGTCTTTATTCTTCTCCGGAGAGCCGCGGTACCGCGGAAAGACAACAGCCCGTAAAATGGAGTCCCGCGGTGCCACGTCTAATGAACTTAATAATGCGATGAGTATACACATTGAAGATGATGACGAAATTGATTGTTGCTATTGCGGAGGATGTCAGTTCGATTGGAAGATGTCCACATTTCTTTGAGGCGGGTCAGCAGCGGGCCAAGGGGATCTGCAGTCTGCCGTTCGATCGGTGGACGGTTGCACAAAGGAGCCCCAGGAGCATGATGGTGCTGTCGCTCACTCGAGTCGAAGCATCAGGCTCCAAGGGGGTAGCCCAGTCAAAACAGAAAGCTGCCACCTCCGAGGTACCGAAGCCCAGGGATTAGATTGAGGTACCGCCGCGGACGCTCGGTGTGGCATCCTCTCAACGTCGTCGTCGCAACGAGCTTGAGTAAACTTAGAGCGGTAAACCAGCGGCCAAAAATGGCACCCCCCCGGTTGCCGCCATCTTGCCGGTTTGCCACATTAGTGATCACGTGACGTTAAGATGGCTGCGCCCAGAGGGGGGCTAGATCAGATTGGCCAGATTACGGTCAGCAGATGGCCACTCTGGGGCTGCGCTCCAATCTTACTCGAATGGGTCCGCTGTTCCGGCGGATAAAGTCACGTGACGAGACAGATACAGCAATGCTGGACGCGGGTAGGTTTTCGAACGCAACGGGTACGAGACATTCACCCAAAAGTCAGATAGAAGCTGCGTTCGATTTACCTGCACCTCCTGCACCGGTGTAGAAAAGTGTAGGGCGGTGTATTTCCGGTCGCATCTCAATACACACACCCGGATGTAGACTGCCCTACACTTTTCTGCTTTTCTGCACCGGTAAAGGAGGTGCAAGTAAATCGAACGCAACTTTATCTCACTCCTGGGTAAAGGTCGCATACCCGTTGCATTCGAAAACGTACCCGCGCCCAGCATTGCTGCATCTGTCTTGCCACGCGACTTGATCCGCCAGAAAAACTCGGATCCATTCGAGTACGAATGGAACGCAGCCCCAGAGTGCCCGTCTGCTGACCGTGATCTGGCCAATCTGATCTGGCCCACCTCTGGGCGCAGCCATCGTAAAATTACGTGATCACTAATGTGGCAAACGGGCAAGATGGCGGCAACCGCGGGGGTGCCATTTCCGCTGCGGGCAGTGGGTTCCGGTTTACCGCTCTAAGGTAAGACTCAAGCTCGTTGCGTCGTCGTCGTCGTCGTGCTGCTGCGAGATTGAACGCTTCTATTTCTCGCTGTAAATGTCATTACCAATATTGTGACGTCACGGCTTGCCGATTGGTCGACGCGTTGTCGCAGATTTAATTTACGCTCTAACTGCGGGAAGAACATTCGGCGCTGGCGGCGGCGTTTGCTCCGCCTATTGGACACACTCTCCCAATGTACGGCTCTGCTCACCCGTTGTTTGCCGCTCCACCTTTTCCATTTCGGCGGCCGCTTCTCGTGGCAATCTATCAGGCTTTGTCAGTATATAGGAGGCTATGGTAGAGCTTAAAGACAGCTGCCTTGAGATCTGCTTACTATATCCTTCAATCAAAACCAATCCGAGCTCCGCGTTAGGACGTCACCGCAATTCCCGCAAAAGAAGAAGACGAACTAGCGCTCCGCATAGATTCGAAGCGTCCAGCGCTGTCACCAAGCGCACCAGTTACAAGGTAACCTCTCGACCCGCAGTCAGTCAATAGGTAATGTGTGGTACAAGGAAGGAGAGATAAGTTTGAAATAAAAGAATATAAATGTGACCAAGTAATATGTGCCTCCTCTTTCAGATGTGTATTCACGGAGAATGCGTAACGTTCTCCTAGTCCTAGCCTGTGCTGAAGCGATCTTAATGAAAAAGAAAAGAAAAAGGAGACGACAAAAGCATTGATGACCTTAACGCAAACTGGGACTAACATAACTAGTGACTTCTGTACTTGAATTTTTTTGGCACTTGATATATACATTTATTATGTCTTGCATTAAAGGTTTCTAGATTAAATTTGCGTCGAAATGTTTGTGCGTTTACTTCAACTGAATGAACTTAAAACTAAATCCTTCATATCGTCTTGTGCTTGTGCAGGATATATTTACTGTGCAGAGTAAAAAAAGAAAAAGAAGAAGTTGGCAACGACTTTTTTAATGCGCAAAATAATAAATTGTCAATCACCAAGAACTCTCCCTGAAAGGGCTTGTTACCAGTTTCTGTGGACTAATTACTTTTTAGTTTGTACACAAGCGTAGCATTCATGCAAAAATAAAACATATTTTACATGAAATAATCTAATTCTCGCATATATATTTTATTTCTTGTAGCTGTGTCTTTAACGAAGTCCATAAAAAACGTCAGTTACACTTCTCGAGCTATGCGATTTGACTTCTCAGATATTTTATGCGCAATATCTGCAGGCTGGTTAAGTTACAGAAAGTTGAAACGTAAACATAAATGCAACCTATAAAAAAAATAATCCGTCCATGACAATAATAATTCCTGGGAAGGGGAACAAAAGGGACAAAGGACATAATGAAATCTCCAAACACAGCTAGGTGACTGGTGCGCGACGAGAAAAAATCCGCCTGGTTCTGATATCGAACCAGGCACCTCTCTATTGCCAGTGGAGCGCTGTACCAACTGAGCTAACCAGCGGTTCGACGTCAGTAGAGCAAACGGGTTTTATCAGCTGCCACCAGTCTAACACCGACAAGGGTGAACTGCCTGCATTTTAAGCTTATGATTAATATGCAATTAATGGAAAGGTGCAAGCGAGCTGGACAAGAATGACAAAAATAATCGCTGGAGAATGGGAACAGGCGGGACGAAGGACAAACACAAATCTCCAAACACAGCTAGGTGACTGGTGCGCGACCGAAAAAATCCGCCTGGTCCTGGAATCGAACCAGGGATCTCTCCGATTCTAGGGGAGCGCTCTACCAACTGAGCTAACCAGGGGTTAGACGTGAGTAGAGCAAACTGGTTTTATTAGCTGCCACCACCTATCTGTGTTTGGAGATTTATATTTGCCCTTTGTCGCCCTTGTTCCTCTTCTCCAGGGATTATTACTGTCACTCTTGTTCAGCTAACTTGCACATTTGCATTGATTGCATCATAATCATTACCTTAAAATGCAGGTCGTTCACCCTTTTTGCTGTTAGACATGGTGGCACCTGATGAAACCCATTTGCTCTACTGACGTCTAACCCCTAGTAGCTCAGTTGGTAGAGCGCTCAGCTAGAAATGGAGAGGTCCCTGGTTAGACTCCAATACCAGGCCGATTGTTTCGGTCGCGCACCAGTCACCTAGCTGTGTTTGGAGATTTATATTTGTCCTTTGCCCCCCTGTTCCCCTTCTCTAGGGATTATTATCGGCATTCTTGTCCAGCTCGCTTGCACCTTTTCATTAATTGCATTATAATCCGTCCATGTCGTTTGTGCTTTCTTAGTCCCTGTCACCTGCCCGCATATTAACACACGAAAATCTGCTCACTTTAGTCTGAACCGGATCGCAGAGACATTGCCGTTTCTTTAGTGCTATTAATAAAGTTTTGGTGTGAAATTTTACAGAAGTTAGTGGGACACTTTCCGGGTTTCGAGCCTTTGACCGCGCTGCATATCGACGAGGGTTATTGCCGGCACTCCGCCAAAAGATTTCACATTGACGTCACGCCGCTCGACTTGGCTCTGACGTCACGCCGCGCAACACGTCACCTGCTACCTGGCGTCAACTGACACCATGACGTGGCATTGTCATGTTAAGTCACCTTGCACTGTGACGACACGCGATATATTGTCGTCGGGTGGCACCGTGAATCACGTGATGTCATGACGGCACGAAATAACAAACATGAGACTGCTGATAACGGAAACAATAAAAACAAAGCGCTTTCGCTAATTATGGCAGAAAAGTTCTCGGGCGATAGAATGAATATAAAGCTAGGTAAGTGTTAAGCCAATGAAACCACGGACGTGAAATTACGTGGAGCAACGTGCTTGAAACTTGAGTGCTCTATTTTGGAGGCGTTCTCCAGTGACCACTAGGCGGTGTTAGTTTGGACGTAAACTTGCATTTTACGTTCAGGCAGGCACACCAACGACAGGGAACGGTTCATGCATACACGTGCAGTCTCGTCGTTCCCTTAATTTCGACCTTGGGCGCGCGATTTCGGAAGAGTTCTTCAATTACCACAAGGCAGTGCTCGTTTGTGTCCAATAAAATTGTTTAACGGGTTCATTGAGTGCTTTTTACATACTACACCACCATTGGCTTCAAAACGCTATGAAATATTTGTCTAGTGCGTTACTCCGTTTAATACAAAACGCGTATGTGGACACAACGGTGCGAGCTCGCACCTTTACCGTTCATTCAGTCCATCTGCTTTGAAATGACACCTTAGCGGCTCCGCCGTTACACCTAAGCTCTCGCAGCATTTCATTTTACGTTTAGCGTAAGTATTTACTAAGTTTGTTCTTATCGCCAGTCAATTTATTTAAAATATATGTTTACTCCAATGCTAACAATTTAATTTAAATAAAAAGCTTAGGTTTCTGGCGTCTGCCATGAAAAAGTTATCACGGAGACGCCAACTCTTCGAATCTTTTCCCTTTTCTTCTATAGTTACCGAAAAAATGAGAACGGCAGAGCGTCTCTTTCCAATGCCCGGCCTCCAGTGTGCGTTCTTTGCCTTACATGGTGCTTTTGCTGAGCGTGCATGTTCAAGGCCCAGGAGTTGTTAAACGCGTTATCGAAGGTAGGGAGCTCGCACTATAGAGGCAGAACAACAGCAGGACCTTCCGTCCGTTCTCACCCTGTTAGGAACTAAAGCCAGTGGCAAGATAAGAACGACCGAAAGGTCGTTCAGTTGTCCAACCTCTATAAGGCGAGCATCTCACTTTCGATAACACAACGGTCTTTCGTGTGCTTCGAATGTGCATGCCCCAGCAGCAAATCACGGCGAAAAGGAAAGGAGCATGGAATGGAAGCCGAGTCATTCCACGCCAAACGATCCAGACACTAAATCGGCCATCATGTATTTGGCTTAAAAAAATTGTAGGCACTAAGGGTGACGTGAAAGTGCCCTTCCCAATATATTTTTGCAGTAAAAAACTATATTTTGCTCTTTTGGCGACCCTTGATTACCACGAGCAACTGGCCTTAAGGGCTATATACAGCATTTTATTTCGTGACAGTTATTAATCTAGGTTGTAAAATAGCACTGCTTGTAGTAACTAAATAGGTTCCTCTAAGTACCCAAATAGTTACTTGCGTGTAATTTAAATTTTTGCTTGCAATTCTGTGGCACTGAAATCGCCTAAAATGCCGATGTTCACTTTTTTTCTTTTCAGGAAACGGCAAAACTATTAGGCATACATTTTATTTGCATTAATAGCACTTGGATTGAAATCAATTATAAAAATATTATCGGTATAATATTTGTTGCAATATTTCGAGGACGAAATCGCCGATCTTGAAAATAGCGCAAAAAGAGCAACTTTTACTTAACAATAACGGTGTGAGGTGGTCGGCATAAAACAATATTATCAACGGCAATATAAAATTTAGAACCGAGGCTTTAAATAAGAAATGTAAGAAAGAAGTGTCCTTCCTTAAACGCGAAAACTTAATTTTTGAAGTTCGGGCCAACCCAGCTCCTCTGCCTCTAGGCGGCCACTCAAGCCGATGAAGGGTAAAAAGTCTCGGCACACTTTCTCTCTATAACCTTCTCCAACGAGATCAATTTCAAAACGTGACGCAGTCCTGACGTTTACTGTTCTTGAAAGATATGTAAAACCGTCATTAACCTCGGTCAGTAAGGTTGGCTCGAAGTAACGGACTCCTCTAGACCCGCGGATAGGTAGAGCGACACTGAACCGGGATTATAACATCTCTCGTCGCACCTGAACATAACTTTCCGGAATCCAGAACGCTGGAATTCGTGTCAGGTTGTCGCATGCCCAGTTGAAGAGATTCAGTGGTGTTCAAATTTGTCCACTGAATGGTTTTTGTAGGCTTGACTTAGTAGCTCTCTATACAGTCCCCTCATTCCATCGCAGCCACTTTTTCCGTGCAAAGTAACAAGAACGTTCCACGTTGCACTGAGGTTGTAGTCTTCCATGTGATGATAGAGGTTTCCAAAGTTCTTTTTGTTTTTTTATTAAGATGCCGCACCGTCCGAGAAGTAATGAATCTGTTATACGTGAGGTAGTTGGGCTTTCAAGTCATCCAGGAACATTTCCTGGAAAGTTGACACCGTTGCAGTGGTATGATCCAGACAGTCAGATATAATCGCGCATGATATGACGTGGAGCTCGTCAGGACGATCTGGTGGACGATAATAGACGACGACGGGATGAACTGTAGATTGAATATTGCCCCAAACGATGTGATTGTATGGTGTCCTGACCAAGAAAGCTGTAGTTTGCAGCAAAATCTAGCAGCACTATTGCTTCTGTTGGCGTAAGACGCATTTTCATGTCGCGTAGATGATGTGCCTAAACCTTGCTCACAAAGTGGTGCGTCTTTACTTCTTTCAACATCTCTAGCAACCGCTCGGACAATTCTTCTGGTGTGAGAACCATTGTCTCGAGTTTGCACCCTGCTCCACTGACCCATTGACAGACGGTAACGTTGATCACTTAGTTGAAGGGCTTGCGGAGTTCGTAAGCAAGAATGCGACGTGTGTAATGCCCAGGCATTGCTTACACGTGCCAAGCACGCAGTCTTCATTGCTTAGGTCGCACACTGTCATCGTAAGCAAAGAATCAATTTTGTGTTCCAGACCCGATGAGTGAAAATGTAGCTTCAGGTTTTGCTGATAAAAACAAACGCAAACTGGGTGCGTTCCTGAACCTCCAGCAAGCAGACAATGCAGACAATGCTTGGCAGTGAACCTTGAAAATATGCATTTCACTCTGTTGTTGCTCTTCTTTCATTCTTCATATGCATCCTTCAGGTTCGACAAAAGCAATAGTTTCTGGCTCCCACGAACGACGTCTTTTCTGCCTGGA